AATGTAAACACGAATGGTCAACAAAATTTGCGTGGATATTCAAGCATACTTAAGTTTGGCCGAGCAGGTTTTGTTCCAAAAACAACATGCAAAGCTGAGGCTTTCAAAAAATTTTAAAAATCAAAAAAAAACTTTTAGGAAGTAAACAATAGCAAGAATTTTCTTTAAAAATCTCAAAATCGCAATAACTTAATTTACAAAACGAAAAATGGTAAAAACTTTCTTTACAAAACATAAAATTAGCAAGAACTTTCTTCACAAGACATAAAATGGCAAGGACTTTCTTTACATACCATAAAATGGTAAGAACTTTCTTTACATACCATAAAATGACAATAACTTTCTAAAAAACTTAAAATAGCAAGAATTGTTTTAAAATTTTTCCTAAAGCTTTTTTCACAAATTTTTCACAATAGGAGACCGCCGTATTTTACAATTAAAATTACACAACAGTTTTCAAAATAATAGATATAAAAACTCTAAAAATTACTTTAAACCCACTTTCAATTCAAAAAATGTAGTAAATAAGGCAAAAAAAACGATCAAAAGAAAAAAAATTTTAAAAAATCTAAAGAAAAATGCTAAAAATAATATTTTTAACAAATTCCCCAACACAAAGCAATAATTTACATTTAAAAACCAGTAAAGTCCTAATAAATTAACTTTCAATTGAAAAAAACTGCGTTAAAACAGCAAAAAAAGCCTTAGCCCGATGCGGGGCTCGAACCCGCGACAGCCAGATTAAGAGTCTGGTGCTCTACCGACTGAGCTAACCGGGCACACTCGCTTTTCGATTGTTTTAAAGGTCGCTTTAGGCTTTTTAGGCCTACAAAGGTCAGAAAAAATATTTTTTATCTTAAAAATAAATAACAAAAAATTTTATTAAACAATTTCTTAAAATTTATTTTTTTGACAATTGTTAGTCGCTTAACATTAAAAATTTAAATCAACCACAATAAATTGATGTCAAAACTGTCAACAATTTGCAATTCCAAAAATGACACAAAAATGCACGTAAAATTTGAAATTGTTATTGTAATGAAAATGACTAATCTTTTGAAAAATAGTCATAAAAGCCATACGGTTATACTGTCTGTTGCTATTACTCGTAGATTTCATAAATCTTACGCGTAAACAATATTTTTTCAAACGTATTCATCTTCAGTGTAAAAAATTTGTATATAAATAAAACAAATGGCAAGAACTTTTTTTTACAAAACCTAAACTAGCAAAAAACTTTCTTTACAAACCTTAAACTGGCTAGAACTTTCTTTACGAAACTTAAAATGGCAAAAACTTTCTTTACAAACTATAAAATAGCAAGAACTTTCTTTACAAACCATAAAAAGGCAAAAACTTTCTTTACAAACCTGAAAGTTGCAAGAACTTTCTTTACAAGACCTAAACTAGCAAAAACTTTCTTTACAAACCTTAAAGTGGCAATAACTTTTTTTACAAACCATAAAATGACAAAAACTTTCTTTACAAAACCAAAAATAAAACTGTTCATTAATGCCAAACTTTTTTAGAAGTTTTAACATTAATGAACTCCGTTATCTACAACATCATAAGTGCATTTGGCTTAAGATTAGCTCAAAACTTGGCTTAGAACTTTAAAAATTGTTTTTAAATCCACATTCCCACTTCCCCCATATGTATTCGTTTGTTAAAATAATTCTGTGCCCCGTTAAAAGCAAATTTTCAGGAGTAGGGGGCTCAGAATTATTTGAATAACCTATGAACTTAAGCTTCAAGAAAAGTTTTGTCGTTTTTAAACGTGAAAAAACATGTAAATCGACGACAACATTTTTTCAAACAGCCTAGTAATTGTAATACTGTTTATTGACCTCAATCAATACTATTTTACGTCAAACAAAAAAACTTGTTAGCAAAAAGATCGTTGTTTTAGTGAATCAAGCACCGTGACACATTCTGAAGGCTAAATAAGAAGTTTGATTATGTTTTTGTCTACTATTTAAACTAATTTTTGAATTTTAGATTTAAAAAGGGAAAGAACTTGAAATGAAAGAACTTTTTATACAAAACAAGCAATCTAGCACTAGCCCTACCCCTAGTTCTTGTTCTAAGACTAGCTTCTGGATCTAACCCTAGCCCAGAGCATTAACCTAACAAATTGTAAGCCCTAGCCTAAGCCCTAGACTAAAGCCTAGCTTATGCTCTAGCCTAAGACCTAAACTAAGCCTTAGCTCTCGCCTTAGCCATAGCCTTAGCCCTAGCCTCGGTCATAGCACCAGACTTAGTCTAAACCCTGGTCAAATCCCTAGCTTATGCGCTAGCCTAAGCTAAGCCTTAAACTTACCTCTAGCCTTGGCCCTAGCCTATGCCCTAGCCTAATCCTAAGCCCTAGCGTTAGTCCTAGACTAAGACGCAGTGCAAAACCTAGCCTCAGCTCAAGCTCTGACCAAGAATATCTTCTTACAATTTGTTAGTCTACAACAATATAAAGCAACTTTCTTTAATCCGAAAGAAGGAACCAGACCAAATTTTGCTTAAAAATCCTTAATTCCACTATCAAAACGACGTAATTTGACTACTTTGTTTTGGGAAATTCACGTTTATGATGCTGTTGGACTTCTGAATGAGCTCGTTAAAGCATCGCACATGTTAAAAGGTAGTCCAAAAGCAGTAAATCAACAAAGTTCATTTCAAATCGTTTTTCTTTATTTATGGCCGTTTCAGCGTACATTTCACGTCATTCTTTATGAAAATTTTCGAAAATTTTAGTTTACAATTGATACCACTTGTTACATTATGACGTTTAAAAGCATAAAACGTTAAAAAACATATTTCTAAATTTTCTAAAACTTCTCTATTCATGTTTTTATTGAAAAAAAAACTTTAAAACGGCAAAATGAGCATTAGCCCGATGCGGGGCTCGAACCCGCGACAGCCAGATTAAGAGTCTGGTGCTCTACCGACTGAGCTAACCGGGCACACTCGGTTTTCTTTTCTTTTTCATGTCCATTTAGGCTTATAACCTTCTGGAAATACAATATTAACTAAAAATAAATAAAAATTTTTAAACTTCTAAAATTTTTTTCTAATTTTTAATTTAAAAATATTTCTAAAATTGAAAAAATCTAAATTTTAAACTTTTCAAGTTTTAAATCCAACTCTTTTATCCTCATGCTTTTAATAGTTGTCAAACAAGCGAGAAAGCAAAAAAAAGCTTTATTATTGTGACAAGACGTTGATTCACAATAACATACATTGACCTCCAACGTAGTCAATGCCATAAAAGCCATTACACCGCATGGCTTATCCAAATACCCATAAAATTTTTAAAACAAGATTTAGAACGGTTTTTGACGCTTAAAATATTTTTTTTATTTTTTCAAATCTTATGTTTAGGAACGTTTTAAACCCAAAATTTTTCGCAGTTTTTTATTTTTTAAAATTAAAATTTTTTTTGAAAATCAAAAATTAGAAAAACCCCATTTTAGATAATAACCATCACCTCACACCATCCTTTTCAGCCCTTAAAACAAATTCTCACCCTCAACTTTCAAAATTACATTTTGCAAATCTTACCGTAACCCTAGCCATGCCCATTTTCGAATCCAACACAAACTTTCAATTCCAAACCCGGCGGCACGCGTTCCAAATGCGAATGACGGAATTTTCGTTGGAAAAAGATGGAAATCCGAGATGTTTTTAACATCCTCCCATCTGCTTTTAGAATATGTAATCCATATTTTTTTCAAACCCGAAAGGGACTGTGCTTTGATAGCAAGAAATTTACTATGACATAGACTTGTAGACATAGATACAGACAGCTTTAGGCTTATAGTAGTGCGAAGAGGCTTGAGAAACAGAACTGGTCAGGAAGTCATAACTAGGTACATAGTTACGGCTATGTTTTTTCTTTACCGCGCGACACTGCTCTTTTTGAGCTTAAAATAAGGCTTAAATATCTTTAGGCTTAGCCTAGACTAACGTATTTTTTAGAAAATACCCTTGACCATAATTATCTGACTACATCACTTTGACCTAGACCTGTTAAAGAGCCGGGCCCACATATGTCGGCCCGATCCCTTTCAAGTTTGCTCCAGCCGACCCGGCGCAACGCCAGGCATACTGTCCTCCGTTTCAAGTCATTTTGACTAATAATATGATCAGAATCAGATTGACCATGTAATCCTAGTTGGTATATGACCTTATATCCCCCAATACATCCGTTAAAAGGGCGCTAGGACAAATGCGGTTTTTGGACATTTGCGGATCTGCGGTTTTTAGACACTTGCGGATCTTCGGTTTTTGGACACTTGCGGATTTTGGACATTTGCGGATTTTTTAAAGGGGTTTTTTCTTTTTTAGTTAATTTATTTGTAGTATGGTACTAAATAATACTAAAGTTTAAATTGGTACTGTTTTAATATGTTTTAGTGCTAAATAGTACTAAATTTTAAATTGGTACTGTTTTATATTTTTTGGTACTGAATGGTACTAAAAGCCCAAAAAGGTACTGTTATGTTAAAACCGCACCAATTTAAACTTTAGTACAATTTAGTACCATACTACAAATAAATTAAGTAAAAAATAAAAAAAAAACCTTTAAAAAAATCCGCAAATGTCCAAAATCCGCAAGTGTCCAAAAACCGAAGATCCGCAAGTGTCTAAAAACCGCAGATCCGCAAATGTCCAAAAACCGCATTTGTCCTAGCGCCGTTAAAAGTCATCATGCCCGACTGTATCGCTGATATAAGTCACATCAACCCTACAACTCAACCCATAATAATAACAAAAAAAAGTGTAAAACCACCCCACACACCAATAACATAATAGCATAAACAAAATATAAACACGCCGAAAATAAAAACAAACAAAACCAGAGACTTCCATGAACAAAACATACCATAATATAGCCAAACCATTACTTTACAATCAATTTATCACGTACCCACACGAACAACAACATATATGTGAGCGTTTGAAAACCTGGGAAATTGCCTAGAATAAGAGAAAATGAAAAAAATTAATTATTTGGTGACTTGATGGAGGGCGTGGGCCAGGTATTCGACGTTGTTCGAGGAAATGCCGGCAATCGAGATACGGCCGTCCTTGGTCAAGTAGATGCTGAACTCTTTGCTAAGACGTTCGACCTGAAATTTTAAAATTAATACATTCAAAATGAAAATCTACGCCTAGTAAAGCCACTATTAGCTAAACATTAACATTTTGATTACATATATTGACATACATCAGCATCTACAACAACATACTTGTTAACATAGACAAAATATTGACTTACCTGTTGTGGTGAGATGCCAGTGAAGCAGAACATTCCAATTTGGTTGGTAATGTGCTCCCAGTTCTTTTGAGATCCCTCTTTGGCCAAAAGGTCCTTCAAGGTGGTTCTCATCGCGATAATACGATCAGCCATTCCTTTCACGTCTCCTAGCCTGAAAAAATCAAAAATGACTTTATAAAAAGTTCGGAGCCATAAAAACCAATAAAATACTTTTTCTAATGTTCAGAACATACTGTACCAATAAAAAAAGTACGTTTGGTTTAAATATACACAAAAAAGTTTCCACTATCAAGAATATAAACCTACCATTCATTGTACAAGTTCTGGTCACTCAAGATCTTGTTGGCGATTCTGGCACCGTGAATTGGAGGGTTCGAGATCATGGGACGTACCAGGATCTTCAGCTGAGACATAACGCGGCTAGCTTCATCTGAATCCTTCGATACGATCGTGTAGGCTCCAACACGTTCTCCTATAATAACATAACATCACTTTAAAATAAAGTTATTTTCAAAAATATGAAAAAGTTTTAAAAATAAATAAAGTTGGCTTTTAAAAACAAGATAATCATCAAAGAGTCATACCATACAATCCCATGTTCTTGGCAAAAGATTGGGCCAAGCAGATATCGTGTCCTTGGTCAAGGAAGTATCTGACAGCGAAGGCGTCATTGTTAATGTCTCCGGAAGCAAATCCTTGGTAAGCCATGTCGAAGAAGACGTACAACTCTTGCTTCTTCACAACTTCGGAGATCTTTTTCCATTGGTCCTTCTGAAATGCATCAAAAATTAAAATTTCTTAAGTCGTTATCAAATGTAGTCATTGAGACAATATTTTTACTCTTTTAGGCCGCTTTTATCATACTATCTGTATAAAATAATTTACCAGGCTTTACCACTATCATTCTCTTATACTACATGAATTAATAAGACAGTACTAAGGCCTAAACACACAAAAACCAACAAAAAACTTACAGTTGGATCAACTCCAGTAGGGTTGTGAGCACAAGCGTGCAACAAGATGATAGACTTCTTTGGGATCTTGCTGATGTCCTCCAAAGCTCCAGCTTCATCAAATCCACAAGTGCTCTTGTCGTAGTATCTATATTGTTTCACATCTAGACCAGCGAACTTGAAAATCGGAATGTGATTACCCCATGTTGGAGTTGGCTGGTAGATGACTTTGTTCGGGAAGAATTTGTTCTGAAATGAAAATTTTACTTTGTAAAAACTCCTGTAAAAAAATAACAACACTATTACTCATTTTACAGTCCATTACATCAATTTAATCCTCATCAAACATCGCGTAGTATGCCTAAAACATGGAAAACATAACGAAAGCTTACCAGAAATTCAGCACCAAATCTCAAAGCGCCAGTTCCAGAGATAGATTGTACTGTGGCATTCCTCTTTTCGGCAATTACTTTGCTGTCATTTCCCAATGCCAATTTGATCGCATTGGCCGTGAATTCTGGGATACCAGCGATTGTGGTGTATTCCTTATCCAACTGAGCGTTGACGATCTCCTGCTCAGCTTTGCGGACTGATGGAAGAACAAAAGGTTTGCCCTGAACAATAAACTTATTTAAAACACATATAACTTTATATATTTTATCATGATAACCAAGTTTTACTATCTCGCCATTCAATTACTTCACTTTACATAATATGATGCTATCAACCTAACATTTGTTACAAAAAATATCATAGAAAACCTTACATTTCCATCACGATAAGCTCCAACACCCAAGTTGATCTTCTTTGGGTTGGTGTCGCGTTTGAAAGCTTCAGTCACACCAAGAATGGCATCTGGAGGGCCCATCTCCACATTTCCCCACCAGGAGGAGCTACAACAACATAAATTAGTAAAATAAGACCTAAAACAAAAAAAAACAGTAAAATACCTACCTCATGCGCTGACCAGCAGCCAAAACCTGCTTTGAGACAACTCGGGATGAGGCCAACATTCTCGGTTCACCTGAAATATTTTCAGTTAATCAAGAGAGCTATATTACTATCGATAAAAACAGAAATTGAGCAAAACGAATTTGAAACAATGGTAAACAAGATGTTGTTTTTACGAGTAACATAGTAATGAAAAGCATTTTTGTTAGTTTACGTTTTACAAAAAATGGTCAATTTAGCGGCCATGAACGGAAGTAAGTTCGTCAGATTGTCCAAGAGTAAGAAAAATTTTTACGTAAAAAATAATGTTTCTGTTTGCAGTAAAGTGGAAAATTGAATTCTTTCCTTATTCTTATCACGTTTTTAAACAAATAATCACGTTGGTTTTACGTTAAAACAATAACAACATCAATGTTTACATCTTTAACTAGTTTAAATTCACGCTTTTTACGTTTTGAAACCTTCGAATTAACAATAGCCATGTTTTACTGATTGATAATTTACGCTAGTCTTGTTTAATAGCTTAAAATTCTAATTTATAAACCTCTACAGCAATATAACCTTAAGGTATTCATGTCTAACAGCTTTAAAATTCAAAATTATCTCGTTCCACACCCTTATAATCAACATATTTACTTCAAAAACTCCAAATCCCGTTAATTAACTTGCTTATTCAATTAACCTTGACAAAACCCAACATTAACCAACAATTACAAGTGTTTTTCAGACCGAACCGAGTTGAAACTTGTGCTGAACACTTGTTTTCCTTCCCCAAATGCCCGCTGCAAGCGAATTCGGGGTGGAGAAAACGTGCATTCGACGTTTTTTGAATGGAAACGTTTGTTGGGGACAGGGAAAGGAACGGACACACAGAGACGAAAAAAAACACAACAAAAATTTGTGCTTTTTCGAAAGGTTCACGTTTCTAAAACATTTTTTCTGATTTTTTGGACAAAAGAAATTGAGAATCCTTTAGATCAGTTTGTAGTTTATATAAAGTTCTATTTGACAGTAAAAAAATTGGTTTGAGATTGCGTATATTAACCAGAAACTTGAGCGACTCATAACAGTTACACATCTGATTTCGGGCAGAATAATACTAGACTAGTTAGCTGACTTTAAATACCTAATACTGAATAACCCAACAGTATTAAACTGAGAAATAAAGGCAAATTGACCATACTTATCATAATAAGACTTTATGAAACAACCTTTCTTAAGTTTTGTTGTTTATTTACCAAGTTGCAACAAAAAAGTCAATTAGAAACGAAAAAATTCACGAGTAAAAGACCCAATTTGATGTTGTGATAAACGAAACGTTCGTCACATGGCTCACAGTTTTCATGAAAACGTTCTTCTTGAAGTTTTATCACACAAAGCACATTGATTTTAGGATGAAGATTCCAATTATTTAATGTTAGGTTGTTCACTTCTGTGCCCCCTAACGCTAAAAATTTTCCTGGGAACGTAGCGCAGAATTATTTTAACAACATTATATCAGAATTATTTTAACAACATTAATAGCTTGTATAAAAATTAATGAGCTACGTCTTTTATAGAAATATAGAGTTCAGTAGCTCATTACTTTTTATACAACCTAATAGTAATATAGCTGTAAAAGTTTTGGACGAAAAGTAAATATAGAACGGTGAACAGAAAGGAGGCTTGCCTATACCACCCCATTCTTTCCCTTAGGGTTAACTTTAGTATGTTATGGCTTGGTAAGGTTGTAAACAATAGGCTTAGGCTGATTGGCCTTTATTAACTCAAAAGTTTAGGCTTATTATTCGCATCATTAAACCTTAGTAATTTACATTTCTCTATAAGACAACCCTAAAAAGCGTAAACTGTGAAAACAGTATTTATTTTACATTTGACAACAAAGGTTAATAAGATCAATTTTGGGTATAACAAGGAGAGACGACTGTCCGACGTAAAATTAAGCCAAAACACAATTTTTTCCGATTAAACACTGAATGAAAACGACAAATTTCTAAATTCAACATCAACACATTATCGAATCTAACAACAATAACCTTTGCATCATAAAATCAACAACAACAATATTAAAGGTATAGGGAGGCGGCGAACACTATGTCACGTTTGAGTTGCTTTGACGCTTCCTGGAATATGGATTCCATTTTCTCATCGCCCATGGCTTGAGCAGCACATGTCATTTGTCGTAGCAGTTCTTCTAGTCGTCGTAGGCATCTGATGATGGAGCCTTCGAAGATTCCTGACGTCTCACTGATTTCTTTGAAGGTGGCACCTTCACACCACTTCTTCACCACCCACATCATGCCATTCTTGAGTTTGTCGACGTAGACGACTTCGTCCAGTTCGAACTTGCACTCTATGCTTACGGCTGCTACCTTCTTGGCGTGTGACTGAAAATATAGAATAATTTAGCTTTTAGTCGTTAAAAACTTAAAATATATAATAACAGAAACAAAAACTTAAATATTAATTGTTTTTCACTTCCTCAACAAAATGTTTCAAAGCAACATACCACCAATGTCTTGAAGGCATTCTTCAGCTTCTCGTCCAAATCTGGTTGTTTGTCAGTCTTCTCTTCAAACACAAAGCACGACAACAACGCTGCTGCATCTTGAGGATCCATTTCCTTGAAAACTCCACTCAAAATCATCTCTGTCAACAAGATTTCGTCGGCCGCGCTGATTTCACATGCAATTCGGCCTTTTCCTGTGATACTGCCATATGAATCCACATACTGCATTCGTTGTAGGACTCGTTCACGTGCCCTGAGTTCTTCTGTGAACTGGCCACCTCGAACTTTGTTGATTTCTTCTTTGATTCGCTCGACTTCATCAGCTAGTTGAGCCTTTCTCTCGTAGGTTGCCTTGATCTCGCCGTAATCTGATCGTTGAAGGAGGGGGTTTGAGGCAATTCTGGCTTCCATCGCCTTCAGTTTGTCCAAGTCTTTCAGCATGTTGTCGTCTTTGATTCCCATTTGAGCTACTGGGTCGAGTTGTTTCACATCTCCATCGAACTTTTTCAAGGCTTTCTGAAAGTTAAAAATTCGTTTTTTAGCCTTAAACTAGGCTTAAAAAAAGTAAAGTCAATTTTAATGTTATTTCTCTTAAAACCGACTGTATTTTTGAACTTAACAATCTCCCTTATCTCCACCTACCTCCAACGATATTCTGATAGCATCCTTGGCCCTTGGACCATCAGGCAGTTTGATTCTGATCGACGAAATGGCTGTAACCGAGCTCAACTCCACCGGGACAAACTCCAATGCTGCGGACTCGTTTTCCTTCGGCGGCTCCAGCTCCTCGACGTTCTGGATGTTCTTCACACTCTCCCATGACAACCTCAAGCCCATTTCCAGAATATAGACTGTGTCTCCAATCTTGTTCACGGTCTTCTGATGATTAAGGAGGACTCCCCAACCAAGATCACGTGTCTTTGTTCGGACTTTGAACAATCGACCGGGTTGAAAGTAGGGGGTCACATACTTGGGTTTTAAGACAACCTGTTGGATCTTGTTCTTGATGTCATCTGCGAGTTGAACAAGTTGGTAATGCGCGAGAAATTGGTCTTCAAATGGCACTTCAAATCGCTCCAGTTGGTCTTTCTTGGCTTTGTACTCTAAAAAACAATTTTAACGTTTAAGGCTCAGCGTTAGAATTGAAACAAATTTAAAAATAATACCAAAATGAGACGTATAACAACTTTTTTAATCAATTTATTACCTAAATACGTAGAAGAAACCTTATTATAGAAATGTAAGTCAATAAAAGTATAAAAAACTAAACGACAGTCATCTATTAGGTTGTTCAAATAGTTTTGTGTCTCCTAAAAATTTTCTTCGATAGGAACACAGAATTATTTGAACAACCTGATATATCACAAAATTTATCACTCACGTTCATAAATTGGAACCAGCAGAGCCTTGTTTTGGAAGTATCTGAAACTCCGTTCCATCATATATTCTGGATTCACATCTGGTACTCGGATCAAATTCAGTACCATGTTGTAGGTCAATCTGAACTGTGAGTTAAGTGGGTCGGTTTGGCCTTTGACAATCTTCTTTGCCACTTCATCGCTCATTTTCTGATCTACCATTAAGATACACAAGCCTTGAGGATCTTTGCCACGTCGACCAGCTCTTCCTGACATCTGAATGTACTCACCCGAGTTGATCCACCTGAAAATAGTTATTTTAGGGTGAGAAAGTAAAGGTTTTTTAAAATGAATATTAAGTTGTTCAAATAATTATTTGCCCCCACTCTTACAAATATAAAATTTTTAGCCTTTGCATCAAAGTCAAACTGGCCTTACCTTGTGTCTTTACCATCAAATTTTCGAGCCGATGTGAATAGTACTGTTCTAGCAGGCATATTCAATCCCATGGCAAATGTTTCTGTCGCGAAAAGAATCTTCAGTAACCCTTCGCCGAACAAGATTTCAATACATTCTTTCAATAAAGGCAACAATCCAGAATGATGAATTCCAATTCCTCTTAACAAAAATGGCAGAATCCACTTGATCTGTGGTAGTTTCTGGTCTTCAGCGCCTAAAAATTAAATATTTTACTAATTTTGTCATAAACAAGACATCATAAATTTATTATGACATTCTTTAATCTACATCAACATTATTGAAACAAGGATCAAGAGAGATCATTGAATGTAGGTCAATATCATTGTCAAGAACATAATGAACCTACTAAAACTAGTAAACTCAACAAAAACCCTTACTTAAAATCGAGACGGCGCTTTCAAAAATCTTAGTTATCACCTCCTTCTGGCCTTGGTCGTTAAAGTCCATGTCTTTCAAATTCAAAGCATAACCTTCACATTCCCTTCTGCTGAATGAGAAGACAATCACAGGCATCAACTCCCTCTCTCTGATCGTCCTCAATATCGTTACAACCGAATTCCCTGTTTGAAGCATAGCCATTTTCCGATTCTGTCTGTCCTTTTCAGGTGCCCTTTCATTGACATAGCTCATAGCTTGTTGAAATTGATCTTCGCGGAACTCTCCCTTCACTGACATAATTTCATATAAACCGTTCGCACCACTGGAGTAGAAAACGTGTTGAAGAGGTGTTGGTCTGTAGTCGGTGTAGACAACGTGACAAGACTGTTTGTGAAGTAAGGCGATCCATTCTAAAATGTAAAATGCCAAATAAAACATTAACAAACTAAAATTAAAGCCATTTTTATCTTTAAAACAAATTCAACTTAAGTAATACCTAAAAACATAATAAAAACTTCAAATTACCTGCAAACTGTTTAGCATTTGGAATCGTAGCACTCAAGAACACATAATGAACATTATCAGGCAGCAAAATAATAGTCTCCTCCCAAACCACGCCTCGTTCTTCATCTCTCATGTAGTGGATTTCATCGAAAATGACCCACCCAACTTCACGCATGATCTCTGACCCTCTGTACAACATTGATCTCAAGATCTCTGTCGTCATTACAAGACAAGAAGCTTCTGGGTTTAATGTGACGTCTCCTGTCATCAATCCCACATCCCCAAACTCTTCCAACAGTTCACGGTATTTTTGGTTAGACAAGGCTTTGATAGGTGAGGTGTAGATAACACGTTGGTTTTCTCGAAGAGCCAAAGCTACGGCATACCTAAAAGTTATTCAATAATAAGATAATAACCGTAAGATTAATTAACAGTGTTGAAATTGCTAAATTAACCAAAAAAGTTTACAGATCATGAAGATATTTGCAATAACCGTTAAATTACCTAAAACAATATAAAACAAAGATTTAAACACTTACAAAGCAATAGCTGTTTTACCGGCTGATGTATGAGCCGATACTAGAACTGATTGATAATTATCAACACAGTTTATGGCTTCTGCTTGAAAAGAATCCAATTGAAATGGGTAAAGCTTTGCCGGGCTAGTATTTCTCTGTTCAAGAGGAACATATTGCATATAAGCTGGTACTGCTACCTAAAAATACGTATTTAAGAGCTCAAAATCAATTATAAAAAAATTTATGCAAATTAATTAAAACCATTTCGGGTTTTGGCCGGCTCAAGTTCCAATAACATACATCAACCTAAACAATGAACAAAATCAAACCCTTACCTCATGAATACAATTTTCCTGTCTCAGCAAATCAAATGTCCTAACTTTTGGTCCAGCTTCGGCTTCGTTCATAATATCTTGATCAGTGTTCGGCGCTGTAACCCTGTTCTCTTCATCGTTTACCGCTTCATCAGTCTGCAACAGGTTCTCACTGGTTTCGGCGATTAGATCGTCCAAATCCCCCAAATCGTCTTCTTCATCTTGTTCGTTCTCGTATTCATCAATAGGTTCCCCACTTCTGTCCGTCAATTGAAGAAATTCAGACATGTTTGCTAAAGCAATAAAAATATAAGTTTGACAAAAGATAATATATAAAAAGTTAAACATAAGCCGGAAAACATCAAGTAAAGACAAAATAAATATTAAAAACTAAAATTAAAATAGTAATTTACGAATTTTACATTCAAATTTTACAGCAAGGAAGTTATAAATTGGTATAAATATTTATAAATTTCCTTCATTCGCGCAAATTATAACAAAAAAAAAATAAAAAAGAAACAGTTGACCTTATTTTGAAAGCAGCCTAATTTCAGGTCAAGTATTTCACTTTGCGCGAAAAACAGATTCAAACAGTAAGATTGTCACAAAATAAAGAGTAAAATTATTAAAGCTGTAATAGAAGTGTTTAAATATGCAAATAAATTATATTTTTGTATCTTTATTGTTTTAATAGCAGAAAATTGATTTAGATGCTACGAACTAGTTGGCCAAACAAAGAGAACATAAAACAATAATGAGATTTGTCATAATGTTATCATATCATTCATATTGATATAAAAGTAAAAATTAATGCAAAATTGCTTGCAAAATCTACTTTTTTACTATTAATATAGTTTTGACAAATTCACCACAATATTTTTGAGCATGAGTCAAGTTACTGTATTGTTGTGTCTTACGGTAAGTTTATGATTTTGTAGGTAGTTTTAAAAAAAAATTGCAAAAAACTTTTGCTTTTAAAGCATATTTTAAAGTATACTCATACAAACGACAAACTTACGTTTCAGATATTGATAGCGTCTGTAGCATCAGATGTCGATGATAAAACCGATTGTACAAATACATTAAAAATAGTTGACAAAAAACTACGTTCCAAAAGCTACACCGATGAAATGAGAAGAAGAAAAACTGATTGGCTTATTGAAGAAACCTTAAAACAGGTAGGAATACTTAAGGTTTTTCAAAAGAATTTTTGACATTTTAAAGTAAGCATAACTCTGTCAGAAGTCAAGGTATCAGTAGTACAACCGTTGGATAAGCAACATTTTATGCTTTAAAAAACGTACTATTTAAAATCCTAGATAAAAAGCCGAACTTTTGAAAAAGATGACATTACATTAACAATACCACTATAGTCAAAGCTTAAAATTAAACTCAAGTAGAAAAACAAAACAAGTAGTACGATTCTGTCTCACTAAAACTATCAAATATACTTTAAGTGTCAACAAGTTAAATCCGAAGAGTTTTGCAAAGAAAGTCAATGTTTATCAGGCATTATCGAATGTTACAGAAAGTTTGGAGAAGATGGAGAACGACTTGATGTTAGTTCGTGCTGTTCTGGATGCGAACTCTAAAAGTTATTTTACTTTTTTGATTTAAAAATAAATAAGTTTGTAAACAAACACAAGATACTGCCGCAAAATCAGCTTTCTATGTTGTACAAGGAAGAAGACTGACAGAGCCCCAGCTCTTGGCTTCAATTCATGTATTACATTTCAATCTAATTTTAGTTTAATTTTTAAATCTAGGTATTATTTTTGCTTTACTTACTAAATTTTTTAAAATCAAGTTGGTCATGTTTCTTTGTCATTTTATCATTTCAAATCGTTGAATTTTACACAAAAGTTGCCGTAGCGTAACACTTGACTCATTCTCAAAAGTGTGTCGAGATTTTCTCTGCGTGAATAAGTTTGTTTTCCCCTTGCTACAGGCATCATGATGTTTGAAGAAACGAACGGGTCAAGCCGGGTCACCGAGTTCAACCGATTGAGATTGGCTTCAGGATGGAGTCGTTGACGGAAGAAGGCAACTTCTTCACCTACGGGCCGGAATATCTTGAGGTAAGTGAGATATAACGTTGTTTTTGGGGAATTGAATGGTACTTTGGGACTTTTAGGTAGTTTTTTTTGTTGTATAGGTATTATTTTGCTTTATTTTATATTTTTTGCATTCTTTTTACAATATTTCGATTGATAATCAACATTATTAAAGTTATATTAACATAGATATAATACGCAATGTTGCTTGTTATAATGTTGACCTAATGCTGAACTTTTAGTCTCTGCTGTTCCCGGATTCTCCTTTTAGTCGCTCTGGTCGATTTTTTAACCAATTTTCGGACAACAAGAAGCCTGAATCTTCGCTTTGCACCAACTGCAGCTTCGGCCTTTCGGCCACTCATTACTGCACCGACTGCCCGGAGTACCTGTGCAGAAGCTGTTTGGACGCTCACGAGACAATCCGTGTTTTCAAGGACCACGTTATTAAAAAATTGGACATTCAGGTATGTTTTTATTTGTTTTGTTGGCTTTTAGGTATGAAGATGATTGGTTTGATCTGGCAGTGAAAGTTTGCTTTTGAAAAACAGATATTATTTTAAAAGTTATCTAAAAAGCCCGTTTATGTAGTTTAAAGGAGGTTTTGTTTAACTTCAAAGCTTTAAATGCAGTTTTTTCAAACGATTAGTCGTTTTTTGGTATAACTTGGGTAATATCTCTATTTCAGCGGCGTTCATCGGTTGCTGAGTCCGACTTGGCTCGTACTGCTTGGCAAAACAGTTCAATCGGATCTCCAGACGTGTTTAGAAGTTCTCAATGTCCCAAAAGGCAACGCAACAACTCGATATTGTCTCCTATATTGGATACCAAGCAGGTAATGAGGTTTTTTGTCTTATTTAGGTAAAAACGGTAAGGAAATTTTGTTTTAGTGACTAAAACTTTTTCAAAAAGGTTGTTAGGATCTTTTTTATCTTTCTTTCTTCTCTGAAAGATCTGTATTTTAATTTATAATGGTTTTTATCATGTTGTTTTAGGCTCCCCCTCGGCTCCAAACGCACTCATTCTACAGCAACTGCTCGGCCCCAAATTTTGCGACCAGCACTCCAAACTTATTGAAGACGTCGCCTCAGCTGTTTGACAGAAGTCGGCGATACGGTCCGAGAACTCAGAATCACAACAACAACAATGTTCCGAACAACTGTTTCCGTCTCGACATGAGCCACTCGAGCACCAAGAACGCCAGTTTTCTCAACGACATCCCGTTTACCGAGCTCAGTATCAAAGACTACAAGAAGTTCCAGGGAGAACGATATTCGTTTGGGGGAGAAGGCAACGGAGACGGTCAACTCAATCGACCATGGGGAATATGTTGTGATCAAAAGGGGCGGATTGTTGTTAGTGATCGGTCTAACAACAGAATTCAGGTGAGCTTTTGATATGATTCTTTTTAACGTTTATTACTTAAATTTTTTGGTTTGTTGTTGTTGAAGGCTTTAATTTGGGAATCGTGTAATAATGCGTCTTTTTTCAGATTTTTGCTGAAAACGGCACTTTCATTGCCAAGTTCGGCAAATTTGGTCAAGGCCCTGGAGAGTTTAACCGCCCAGCTGGAGTCACAACTAATTTGAAGGTCAGTTTTGTTAATTTTATTGTTTTTTAGATTATTTTAGATCAGTTTGTCGAATTTTTAAAAAACTATTACCTAAATTTACAGTTTTTTCGAAAAAATTTGTTTTTTTTTTGGCGAAATATTACCTAAAAATTGAATTATCTTTACAAATTATCAAATCAATTTCAAAATACATTTTTAGAATCAAATCATCGTCGCCGATAAAGACAATCATCGGATTCAAGTGTTTGACGAGAACGGGCGATACTTATTCAAGTTTGGCCAAAGCGGTCGACATCCAGGAAGCTTCAACTATCCTTGGGGATTGGCTACAAATAGTAGAAACGACATAGCGGTTACCGATTCACGGAACAATCGGATTCAAATCTTCAACAACCGTGGAGAGTTGATCAAGATTTGTGGTCGAAACGCGTTTCCAAGTGCCGAGAAGCAAGTGTTTGGGCCTCGAGGGATTGTGTTTGTGGATGATGATAACATTCTTGTCAGGTGAGGATACGCGAGTTGACGATTATAGTTTTTTAGCAGGTTGAAAGGGTTTATTATGAGCGGTACTCTACATTTTATAAGCTATAAAGCAAATTGGTGTATTTGAGCAGATTTTTATTTTTTAACTCTGATAAATATAGTTAAAATGACATTGAATAAATTTTTTTATTTTTCAGTGACTTCAATGGACACAGAATCGTCCAAATCGACATTACCCGACCAGCTGAATCTGTGGAATTTTATGGTACCGAAGGGCAGGAGCCGGGATGTTTTACTCGCCCTCAGGGTATGGTTTTGGACAGACAGGGGCACTTGTTGGTATGTGATTCCAGAGGAAACCGAATTCAGGTAAGAACAGCATCGGTTTAGAAATGGAATGTAAATTTTGGGGTGTATATAGATGGTATTTTTTATTTTATTATAATAAAAGATGTTATTGTTTGATATGAGCATGCAAAGTTGTGGTCCAGATACAATATTGTCTACTCGTTAATTTTGTTCAAGATATATATGAGTGGCCATTTCAGATCGTTTCAATCCCTGAAAAACGTGTCATTGGCGTCCACACCACAGAGCCCGACATGGACCGACCGTGCGACATTACCATATCCCCTCAGGGCAAAGTTTTCGTTGTCGACTTTGGACACAGCACCATCAGAGTACTATAATCATGACAATGCACCATGATATTTAGTATTGTTCACGAATGGTCAAGACGGGTTAATGTGATTGGATGGATAATTTCTAACTTATATCTATCTTTTATCAGCTGAATATTTTCATAACTGTCATTTAATATGTTTATAAAATAAATTGCTAATATAATACTTGATTCAATGTTATTATTGATGTTTGTTTATCGTTTTAAAAGATAGAGATTCAGGAGGTGAAAATATATTAGTGAACCGTTTATAGTAGTTAGCTTGCATAGGAGTTTGGTATTGATATGACCATGTTATAATTATTTCTAAGTTAGTTACTTATTTAATTGTATGGTTTACCAATCCTAAGGTGATCCACCTCTTCAGAATCAGCTCGCTCAACATTTTTATATGAATTCTTTGTACCGCCAATAATACCCAAAAGCAACTTTATTTCGCATTTGAGTTTTGGTTGGGTGCTGAGCTATGGAATTAAAGCTGATGACTCTTCGCCTCTTTTTGCCATTTTGAACTTCTTTCTGACAGTTTTTTATCGACACAAAAAATTCAAATATCGAGATTCAAATATCGGGTGTAGGCGCGTCTGTCCGAATAGCGCGGGGTGCATTTAACAATGCCTTTAAGATCACTCATCGCTTATAGCTTTTTCTTAGCGTCTTCTGCCGAAGTTTCAAAAGTTGACATACTAAAAACAGCACTTGGACAGTGAAGGGCTGCAAATTGGTCTGCACAATTTATGACATTTCCGTTCTTCGTTTAGTAATAGACTGCCGCCTCCAACTAGAGGCCGGAATTGATAAGAATATAGGTCAGTCGGAGGACATGACGAAAAATTGTGATACAGTAACTTGTTAAAGTTTTAGAAAGTTTGATACTTTAAGTGGGTAACAAAAAAAAATAATCAATCACTATACAAAGGATTTAATAATCTTTTTACTTTATCAGTAATATTTTTTTTTAATTGTTTATAATACTTTTATTTTTTTTCTGTATAGTATTTTTATTGTTCGTTATTTTAATTTCGCTGTAAATTACCGTGTAATTTTTACTCTGTTTTTTTTTCTTCTTTTTCGTGTATTGTGTTATAGTAATAGCATAGTAATACCCAAAGAATTAAGGCCTATAATATTCGAACAGTTTCATACTAACGTTAACGGTGGCGCACACTTATCATTAAGAAAAGTTGTGCTCAAATCCGATAAATATTGGTGGCCTAATAAGAGGCAACAAATTAAAGAAGCTATCCAACAATGTGGTAAATGTCAGAGAAGACAAACTGACTATAAATACAATAGGATACCATTAAGACCAGTAATTAGTAATACTGTATTCAACAAAGTAGCCATAGACTTGACTGGTCCTTATGCATGTACAAATCATGGAAATAAATATATACTGAACGTAATAGACCACTTTAGTAAATACTTAGTTAGCATCGCAGTACCCGACATGAGAGCGGAAACACTAGCCCATGCTTTAGTTACAAAAGTTTACCTAGTTTACGGAACTCCCACGGAGCTCACGTCAGATAATCAAACCTCTTTTACATCAGAATTTTTCACGCAATTACACAAACAGCTAGATATTTACAAACGTACTAGTACCCCTTACCACTCCGCTGGTAACGGTCGCGTAGAAAGAACATTTTGCACGTTAGGGGATATGTTTTCAAAATATACCTCAGAAATGCAGAATAATTATGATATTTTCCTAGAAGGAGTAACATTCGCTTACAATTCCAGCGTTCATGAAACTACTGGTGAATCACCATTCTTTTTAATGTTTGGAAGAGACCCAGTACTTCCCATTGAACCGATTCTCAATGGTAAAGTAACCATAAGCTATTCAGAAAGCGATTATGAACAATATAGAAAATTATTAGTAAAAACACTTCGAACAGCATGGAGTATCAGTGCTAAAGGATTAGCTAAAAAGGCTAAAAACTTGAAGGATAGGTACGATAAAAATCTTAAGAAGAAAGACATCATTATAGGATGTAAAGTAATCTTAAAGAGAAGAGTAGGAAAAATAGGAATTAACCCTAAGTTACTACCACGCTGGACCGGATACTTCCGCGTCATAGCTATAGAAGACCCTGGATGTACAATTGTCAGTATGGAAAACCCTAGAAGCCCTCCTATAGTTGTACATTTAAATCAAGTAAAAAGATACTATACGCCAGTAAGCCCGCTTTATTCAACGCACAGTTCCGCGAGTAATGACGTCACAGACGAATTTGCCGACGAAGTTGAGCTTTTAGATATGCCAGGCTATAAACACATAATAGATAAGAAAAATATAGGTCAGCATCCCCTTGATAAGGTAGATAATGATAAGAACACATCGTATAGGCAGAAACTTCGATCTCACAGTCATTCTAACTTATCTTTGTGTTAAAAGATGGCTGAGATCGAAGCTAATGCTTAGAAGCTGATTTAAGTGATGGAGATTGAAGTGGCTCAACCTGAAGTTGAACTCAACCTTCTTGTACCTGGAGTCAACGAACATGGTCAAGATCAACCAGTTGATGTCTTCAGTCACCAAGAATTCCTCGACTACCTCGACAACATCAACAACGCAGAAGCCAACGGCGATGCCGCAGTTGAAAACGGAGGTGAAGCTGAAGCTGTAGCCGAAGTTATCAATGAAGGTGGAGCTGAAGGTGAAGCTGCCCAACAAGTTGTGGAAGCCGCTCCCCAAAGACCTCTCCAGCGTCCTCGAATCCAGGATCGTCCCGCGGAAACCGTAAACTTTCCTTATTTTGATTTTTTATATATGTCTAGGAACCCGGGAAAATTCCCAAATTCTTTAAAAAAGGTGGCCAACCTGAATCCATATTACTGGGTTAAGACTAGAAATGAAAACATTTTGACAGTCCCTAGTAGGGGAACTGTAACTGCACGTCAAAATATAGAACCGAAAACGCGTGTGGCATTTCGTCCTCCATACTCATGAAATAGAAAAGCGCTTGCTTTTCGTGAGAGCGAATAGACGAAAAAGGAAACGAAAGAGTGAAAAACGGAGAGACCACCCACGTGGTCGTAAAGAGAGCGGTTAGACATTTTCTTTTTCGCCGAGATTTTGGAGTTTTTTTGGAAATAGTGATAAGTTTAAACTTGTTATATTAAGTATAATATAACAATTTAAAAATTTTTTTTGTAAAAATTGTTAAATAACACCATAAACTTGGTCTTAAAAACTTTTTTTAAATTTTTTAAAAGCTAAATAGCCGAGTTTTCGTTCTCGATATATTGGTTGCGGAATGTCAAATACAGTTTCAAGTTTTTTGTTTTATTTTCTTTTGACGTGAACTGCTGTGTTGCAAAATTTCTGTATAGTTGAGATAGAAAGTAGAGGTAGAAGAGAAATCCTTCTATTCGGTTCCAAAACCAATGGACCCGCCCCTCTAGGGCCAGGTGCCACCGTGGAGGTACGTCGTGATTTCCGAAAGGGTCTGTCTACACTCCGAAAAGGTCTACAGGAGAAAAAAGGTCTACAAATCGAAAAGTTCTACACCCGAAAAGGTCTACAATAAAATACAAAAAAAATATTTCTGATATAATATAGTGTTATAAAGCCTCTTTACCATAGTAACAGGTAAGATATCACAGTGACAAAATATGTTGGTTACTATAGTACAAAACTATACATTTTTGTAAGTTCTGTGACCTTCTTACTTTTCATATGTCATAGTAAAATTGTTTTTGGTACTATATTTACCATAGTAACAGGTAAGATACCACAGTATGTTAAGGTATAATGTGATACGGCATTTTTTTTTGTTTAGTATGGTAGATTAGGGTAGGGTAGGTAGTATAGGGTATGATATGGTACAATATAGTAGGTAGTATAAAGTATGGTAGAGTACGGCATGGTATAATATGGTATGGTATAGCATAGCCAGTAGGATAGACTATGGTATGTCAAGTAGAATGAGTACGATATAGTAGCTAGCTATGACATTTGAAAAGTAAGAAGGTCACAGAACCTACAAAAATGTATAGTTTTGTACTATATGTAGTAACCAACATATTTTGTCACTGTGGTATCTTACCTGTTACTATGGTAAAGAGACATTATAACACTATATTATATCAGAAATATTTTTTTTTGTATTTTATTGTAGACCTTTTTTCCTCGTAGACCTTTTCGGGTGTAGACCTTTTCGGTTTGTAGACCTTTTCGGGTGGAATGGAGGTACGTAGTACCGCCGCGGTTAGTAATTTAGTCATCCCGCCGCATTACCCAAAGATAACTAGGGTGGTTATTAAGGCCAGGGTGATTTCGCATCCAAAGATATCCGCAGTATTGGGGGTAGTAAACTCTGTTAGTAGGAATGGCATTGTTGTCACAGACGGCAATACTACAACGTATCTACCTCTGTGTCAAGTGACATATCCAATAGATAGTCCATTGACATCAGGACAACCAATGGTCCTCTTAAAGTGTCAATTTGCCGGTATGGCCGCTGGGGAAAACCCACACGGCGCACCGCACAGGTATTGGCCGGCACAAGCCAATACGGCCTACCTAATATATCAGGCCCGGACTGACATTGATTTCAATATCAATGATCTTCCCAAGCCCCTTTAAATAATTTTTTAAGGAGTAATAGACTGCCGCCTCCAACTAGAGGCCAGCATTGATAAGAATATAGGTCAGTCGGAGGACATGACGGGTCGTGAGAAGTCGTATCTCTTTTGAGTCGTTTAATATTTTATATTAATGTTATTGTAGTCTTGCCCCAACAGTAAAATATTACATGTTAGTATTGTTTAGAAACGCCAATAAATTGTATGTGTAAAATACTAGACGGTTTTAATATATTTAGCTTGTTAATTAAGATAGTAACAAGTTTACTGTTTGTACTTTTTAGGAACAACCTTTGCATGTCAATGCCAAACTCATTGCGGGCGGTATTTCCATACGGTTTTATATTTTGTCAACGTGAATTGACTGTATTACACTTCTGTTTTGAAGCCTTTTACACACTATTTGACGTCATCGCTTTGGTTTTTCGAGTTGTAGTGTGAAAACGAAACATAAATTATTTTCCGCGACCCAAATACAACGAGGTCGCAAGCATTACCAATGAGAAATGTAGAAGTGGCGCGCTAAAAGATGCGTGTAACACCGCAGCGTTCAAAAGAAAAGCTATACGGCATACATTGCTTTGGCTTTACAACATGTTTTAATATTCATATCATTATCTACTGCATCGCAGAAAGGTGGAAAACTTTGGAAATGGAGACGCTATGATGTTCAATGTCTATGGAGAGTATGAGAACGTAAAAGTATGTCTAACTGTCTAACTTCGGACTGCAACGATGTAGGAACTTAAAATAAGGAGTGACACCAAGTAAGTTTTACAGTATAAACATTTTGATAGTACTCATATATTTTTCAACCTTTTACAATACTTATGGTTTTCTTTCAGCTGAAGCCATGAACGTAAACCCTTGTGCAATGCAATTTGATGAGTATGGTTTTTTTGTTCGACTGCATTGATTTTAACACCAGTGAGCTTCGAATTAAGTAATGCGCAAAGAAATACAGAACTTCAACGATTGTTGCGTAATATGTTTACAGTACACACTGATTTGGGACTTACAGGTCCTTGTGGAATGAACATTGAACCCCAGTTAAAAGCTTTGAATGAAGGTAGAATACTTCAAGCAATACGGTACAGCAAACGTCGTGGCGAGGCAGGTGTTGTAACAGCTTTCGACATTCCAGACGGTATGATTGTATACTGACCGCAGAAATTATTGACCACCCAGCTATATGTTTTATTTTAGTGTAATACTACATTTGAAGAAAATATGAAATGTTCAAACACCGTAAAAGTTCCATAATTTCTAGGTATCAAAGATACCACGCAGAGGAATTGAAAAAGACTTATTACCCAACAACATAGTGAGAAAGATGAACAGAGAAGTTGGCAAAGAATACGTATTTTGACGAAATGTACGTAATTTAAAAGCGTTACACGATTGTGATTATACATTAGTAAAAAGTTATAACTATATTCTAAGCGCGTTTATAAATGCGAGCCACATTGTTCGGCCATGTACGTAACAAATGCAACGTGCACCTTTCAACATTTTTTCAGCCAACTTTATCTTGTTCTAGCTGTATTAAAAAAATCTATTGACAAAGCAGAGCATTTTTGGCAGGTAAGATTTTTTGTTTGGGATGTAAAATCTTTAAAAAGTCTCATTAAGAATAGCACTCAAATAAAAAAAAAATATTTTAATTTTTGGTTTTTTATCTAATTTTAGGAGTCTTTCTTGTAAAAGGAACAATAAAAGCATGCGGTGAAGAATTGTACACGGAAAAGCTAACTTTGCTGCGAGATGAAACAGTAGCTGAAGTTGGTGATGTTGGAGGTATCAAAACTGTATGCACAGACCGGGAAATGGCTGTAATTAATGCTGCAAAAACCGTTTACACAAGTTGGAACACAATTTTTGTTATTTTCATTATTGTTACAGTATGATGCGGAATTTCGATTCTGATCTTGAATTGGCTGGACGCAGCTTCGTCCAAATTACTTCTTCGGCATCGACCCATTTGTTTGCGGCTCGACTTTTTGCTTTCGTGCTGATCGTAAACGATCGAAGTTTGGGAGTGGTGAAACACGTGCTAGATCAATTACACTACCCATGTTTGATTTGGGACTCTTCCTGTTACAATCGACGTCGATTCTCAGACCTGGCACCTTGTACATGAATGCTACCTAGAATTTTTGCAGTTTGTGGAAGCTCGCAATCATTTTCCGGTGTTACTACAATTCGGAACCTTGTCTGTACTACAGGTACGGTCGCAGTATTTCCATCTAATTGGCCATGGTTCGTAATGAACTCATCGAATAGGCTGACCAGCTTCAGAGGTACTCCATTGGATCATTTACCCCTTGATCTAAGTGATGACATCAGCGAGGAAGACTACTTCTATTCTACCTTTTTTACTCCCTAGTAAGTTATTATTATTTTTTTCCATTTTTTACCAAAAGGGATAGAAAGTTAGTATTTTCTTAATCTAATACATTTTTAAACTCATGTCTTTTCAGCAAAGATGATCAACTATCGTTCAATGGTTTGGAGCGGACTCCAACGGAAAGTCTCCGTAGCACACCCGAACCCAAGCCTTTACACTGACGTTATGTGTCATATCTTTGGGAATTAACAATGTCATATGTCGAATCTGATCTTGAATTGGCTGGACGCAGCTTCGTCCAAATCACTACATTGGCCTCGACACACTTATCTGCAGCTCGGCCTTTTGCTTTTGTGCTGGTCGTCAATGACAAAAGTTTAGGAATTGTGAAAGACGTGCTAGATCAGTTAGAATACCCAGGTTCGATTTGGGACTATTCCTGTTTCAACCGGTTCGATATTGATGCTCAGTACTTTGTACATAAACCTAAAATTTTTGCAGTTTGTGGAAGCTCGTAATCATTTTCCCGTAGTACTACAATTCGGAACGTTGTCTTTACTACAGGTACGGTCGCAGTATTTCCATTTAATTGGTCATGTTTTGATAATGAACTCATCCAATAGGTTGACCAGCTTCAGAGGTACTCCATTGGATCATTTACTCCTTGATCCAAGTGATGACATCAGCGAGGAAGACTACTTCTATCCCATATTTTTTTTATTCACTAGTAAGTTATTTTTTTCAACTTAACATTTTTTACCAAAAGGGATAGAAAGTTAGTATTTTCTTAATCTAATACATTTTTAAACTCATGTCTTTTCAGCGAGGATGACCACCTATTGTACGATGGTTTGGAGCGGACGCCGATGGAAAGTCCTCGTAATAGACCCGAACCCAAGCCTTCGCACTGACGTCACGTGTCATATCTTTAAGAATTAACAATGTCATATGTCGAATCTGATCTTGAATTGGCTGGACGCAGCTTCGTCCAAATCACTACATTGGCCTCGACACACTTATCTGCAGCTCGGCCTTTTGCTTTCGTGCTGATCGTAAACGATCGAAGGTTGGGTGTGGTGAAACACGTGCTAGATCAATTACACTACCCAAGTTTGATTTGGGTCTCTTTCTGATACAACTGCAAGATGTTGTTGGGAATTCGTCTCGAACAACTACGACCTCAACAACAACAACAACTGGCTTTGTCAGTGAGCCAGCCTTAACCTCAACCACCAGCTCAACAAGTGAAACAACCACCGCGAATTAGCCGCTCGTTTTGTAGTCATTTTTTCTTCGTAAAATGTGTCAAGAAGTTCATAAACGTTCCTGTAGGAACTAGAATTAATATTTTGTCGTACATGGAGGGAGACCTTTACTGTCCTCGTGGGTATCCATCTATGAAGCCTGTGACGGGCTTTGTTATCATACATCGGCCTCGAGCCGAGAGATTTATGGCCAATATGTTTTCAGTTACAAAGAACGCTTTTAGAATTGAGATTAACCACCTCAAGAACTCTGTCCACCATGGTCTTCATCACGACTTCCTTAATTTCAACTCCCCAAACTTAAAAAATAATATGGACTGCGTAGTGGTCGTAGAATGGCTATCCGTGTTTGAGAAGAAGGTTACTTATGAAGGCCCAAGTTTCTGGCATATAAATTAATAGAACCAATTTAACTCTAGTAAGTTATTATTTTTTTTCAACTTAACATTATTTACCAAAAGGGATAGAAAGTTAGTATTTTCTTAATCTAATACATTTTTAAACTCATGTCTTTTCAGCGAAGATGATCAACTACCGTTCGATGGTTTGGAGCGGACGCCGACGTAAAGTCCTTGTAGCACACCCGAAACCAAGCCTTTACACTGACGTCACTGGGGGGAGTTTAGTTAATGACAAGGTATCTGAAGCTCAATGGTGGTGGCGACGTGTTTTCGATGGTATTAAAGTCCACATTCTACTCGCGTCGTAAAAAAATGTCTTCGGGCCAAGTTCCCTTTTATTGCCATTCTTTTTGGTAATATCTTATATATTATGGCGTTATCGTAAAAAACACCTTGTCATACGATCCAAGTTCGGATCGGACCCGCTTGACCTTATTCTATTGGTTAATATAACATTACTTTCAATAACTAGATTACATAGCATTTAGAAGTTATAGTAAATACAGTAATCGAGACAACAAAATACGCTCCATTTTAAAACAACATGGAGACACATCAAGTACCTAGAATTCGAGTTCTATAACGACGAGTTGCTACCTCGAACCACGAGCTACGTGGAAGGCATCAACAACGGCTTACGCACTCGTCTACTAGAGACTGATGTTTCAATTAAAGATGGTTATGAACGGCTACATATCATTATGGGCGGAAATCATTATTGGCGGAGATCATTATGGGCGAAACTCATTGTGGGCGGAAGGGCGGAAAGCACTGGGCGAAAAAAAATAAAAAAAAATGGAGGGGTGACAATTCCGGATCGGCGACAATTCCAGAATATTGGATCCGCGACAATTCCGGAATGCGGATTTGCGACTATTCCGGAACAAAAAAAATACCTATAATATTAAAAGAGCACTGTTTCAAAGTATTTATTGTACTAAAAGTGTAAATTGTGAATTAAATAGTACTCTAAATGGTACATTTTGTGTTTGATAGTACTAAAAAGCTACAGTACTATAGAAATGGTACTAATATAAAAGTAGTAAAATAAAAATAGTACTAAAATGGCACAATAGCATTCCACAATTTTAATTTAAAAAATGTAACTTTTAAATTAATAATAGTACTGTTTTTAACACTGTAAATTAATTAAAAATTTTAAAGGTATTCAGGAAAGTATTCTATTTAATGAAAGGTTTGTACTAAAATTGTATAGTACTTAATACGAAAAAACTTACGGGGATAATTAAATAGTAAAAAATTACGATATTATTAAATAAGTATTAAAGCTTATAAGTTAGCACGATTGTTGTTGTAAAAAGTAACATATTCGTAATGTGCTTGATGCTCCGAACTGAAAGTGTACACCAAGTACAGATTTCCGTTTCGATCGGCTTCGTTACATGCTGATCGCCAAATACCGTCACCAACACCGCCAAGAGGTCTGATTGTGTAAATGTATACGCTTACGTTAAAAGCAGCGCAAAATGCAGTAATTTCTGCTTTGCTTCCCCATTTTGTGGAAACTTTTATGTAATCCAAATGTTGTGACAACTTTTTTCCATTGCTTTCAGCGTTTATATACACTTCATACTGTTCTTGTCCCGCCTTGTGTCTGTATAAATTTGTAAGAATTTTGCGAATCCTCAAATGGTTCTAACCAGAAATGCCGTATGACAATGCCCAAAAAAGGCAATTTCCATCCCCGGCGACGTGGATAACATCGGACTCTCTTACTGGCATGTCGTTTCGTAAATAAAGTGCTTTTCGTCCGTACCTTAAAGCCTTGTAGAAAACCAAGCCTCTTCTTGCGCACATCGCTTGCATGTATTCTTCGTTCACGGGATCCCACACCACGTACATTCTGTGCAAAGAACCGCTTTGTTGAATTCGGAGACTTCTTTGACTTTGGAGTTCTTCGTTGACGTCTTGGTCATTGTTATTTTGTTCAAATGACCAAAAATTTAACTGGAAAAAATTCCGTTATACTGAAAAAAAATATTTTGTCAAATGTACAAGTATATGTAAATATAAAACAAAATTTTAAACTTATAAAACTTTAAAGCTGCCAATTGCGCAAGAAAACATCTTTAAGCAAATTTTAATTACAATTTAGCCTACCTCGTCGTCGTTTATATCAACAAAACATTCACTTCTACACCATGGTCATTGTCATAGTCCATTACAAAGGCTTCCGGGTTGTCATAAAATTGCGCAATTTCTTCTTCGTCAGGTTCTTGCACATTATTAATAGTCTAAATTGTCAACTTCATCTAGGGGTGGCGGGGCAGGGCACAACACTAAATTTTTTAATGTTTTTAATATACTACAACAATAAATTACCTTCGTTAGCTGGTGTAATTTGAGGCTGATTTTCAAGTTGTGCTTCTTCATCGTCTGAACTACTGTCAAGGATCGTAGCATTACTAATTTCACTGTTGTCATCAACCTTTGGTGTGTATTTTTTTGTTTTTATAGGGATCGTCAAAGTTGTCGTTATCACCAAGCTCATCGCCAGAAGAAACGTCCACAAGATGGTTGCTTTCTGCTTCCCAATTGTCAAAATTGGCTTTATACAAACAGTATTGAGTGGCTCTTAAAAACGTGTAAATGAACCTTTCAGAAACTTTGTTTTTCACCTTTTTTCCGCTTTTTCGTCTAATTTTTCCGCCAGTTTCAGAATACCTTCGTCATTATCAATGTTCGTTTTCTGGATTTTGGAATGTTTCCAACGTCCCGTTCAACAACTGCGTACTGCGTTTTCTTGTCAATTTTTCTTCGATGACTCTGCAAAGTAAGGATGTTTTTCTTAGAAGTTACTAAAAATTAAAACACAATTTGTTTTTCCCTATGCATTTTTTTTAAGAAACGCTACGTTTTATATGTTTAATAGCACCACTTTGGCTATGATGGATTGGTACTACCAAGATGGGGCACTGAGATGAAATGATCAGCATGTCAAAAAACTAAGATATACTAATTTTTAGGTTGTGAGAGCAAATATTAACTGCAATACGGCGCGTTAAAGTTTTTCTACTGAATCAGTCATTATGAAGTATTTTTCAAAATGACTTCGGAAAAGTGCTATTGAATTGAATACCTAAGGACTTAATATATGCAAAACAAATCATAGGGTGAAAATTCTAAGGCACACCACTTATTGCAGAGACTTAAATAAAACAATAAGATTACCTTTAATTTTTTTAAATTGTAAAATTTTTTTTGGAAACGTTTTAAAATTATTATAAAAACGAGTTTGGAAAACGTTGTATTTTGCTAAAAAATCTTGCTCAGTTTGTAAACTTTGAATATTTACAATTTTAGGCTTAGGTAGTAGTTAAAAATAGTATTTTTTTGGGTTTGTCGTTTTTTATTTGGACGAAATCGACCATTTAGTACCATACAGTACCAAAAAATTATAAAGTAGTGCCATTTTATCAAATTTACTTTTTTTTAAAAAGGGACCTGTTCGACCTCGATGACTCCGATATTCCTTTCGATCAATATCGCCGTACAAAGCACTTCGGATCTGGCTTTATACATGTCCACGAGTTGAGACGCTTGGAACGCCAGCGAGTGCAGTACGGACGCGACCTCTCGTGTGGGTGCCTCCAGTACCATCTCCACGTTTTCTGGCTCTACTAGACATATAGTGTTAGGCTACTGCGTACATGACTCGCTAAAGACGAAATCATTGAACGGTCGTACAGTGACGAGGTAGCAATTCGCCACCTATATTTTGTTGTATAATAAGAAAAATATTTTTCGAAAGTAACGTAATTTTTATATCTAATGATAAAGCATGAGAAACTGAACTTTTTGAAGCAATTTGGAAATATGTTACGCATAGTGAGTAATGGTTTTGCTGTTTTTTGGGTCGATGTAAGTCAATTGCGCATTGTTTCTTTTTTTTGCGAATTAAAACAGTACCCAATGTACATTGTAAAGTACGGGATTACCAATGGTGACATGTTTTTTGTTGGTCCACTAAAATCTACAAATTCAGATTTTTGAGCATCTGTGAAAGAATCTGTTGTAGAATTTAGATTGCGTTGAAACATCAACGGATGAGCAACGCCAATCTTTTGCTTACCATTTTCCATCATAACCAACTTGAGGTAATCGCTAATTTGATCATCGGTAAGCCAAAGATCTATTCCTGCAGCTTCAGAGTTTGTCTTTATTGGTTTGCTTTTGTATCGCTTTAGTATGTCGTCTTTAATTTTGCCTTTGTCATCCTGCTTTAAGATTTTCATTTTTTTTATCCTGTTGATGTTTTTTGACTTGATCTTTTTTCTCTGTTTTTGATTTGACTTGATAAGCAAGATCGGCAGCCAACACTTTGCTGCTTACTGGGCGTGGTTGAAATTTCTACAAAAATGTAAATGTAGTTGTAGTCGAAGCTACACTTTAGTTCCAAAATAGGTTTTACAACAATATGTATTTTTAGTATTCAGCACGATAGGGTTTTACAATAACAAGCACAATAGTATTTTTAGCACGGTAGTACAGTAAGATTAGTACGGTAAAATATATTATGACAAAATCAAGAGGGCTATGAAGGAGCGGTCTTATATAGCGTTAAAAAGCTTATTAAAAGTGAATATATTAAGATACAAAAGTGATAAACAATATGTAAAATAGACTAGCTTAAACATTTCATCGTGTTCAGGATGACTTCCTTTGGGTTGATTCTGGAATAGACTTTCTGTTGTTTGATGAGGTCTAAAGTCAAGTTAGTCATCCACTTATGAATTTTTTGAGTAAACTCCAGTGCTTGTGAAGGGGCTTCAGTTGAGTGGATGATAAGTAGATTCTCCATGAACTGTTCAGTTTCATGTTGAATCTGCTGAAGTTGATCAACAATAGTAGCATTGGAAGGAGCTTTGGACGCCAGTTTCTCGATTTCTTGAGCGAGCTGAACAGTCTTCATAGTAGGGTCACCAGTCAAGAGTTGTGCAGGATAGCGATATGATTGTATGGGAGGGGTACGGACTGGCCATATGTTAATAGCTTTGGGAGTGACAAATAAGGGGTGAGATCGATGTAGGACTGAGTCATTTAAGAATAATAAATAATAATGAAGACTATAAAGTGACATGCTGTTTAAGATATTTTACAAATTTTGACCATAGATTTAAGATAATATAAAATCTTGATAAAAAAAATACAAATAATTTATATGGTATAAGTTACAAATTTGTTGATTTATGATTATTGGGATTTAGGTCTATTTGGAATGTTAACTTGGGTATAAGAAGTAGGTTTAAAGTAATTGTATATCAGTAATAGAATGAATATGATAATTAGAATTAGAAATAATGGTGAGCTTAATATAGTGAGACTCGTGAACCAACCATTAATTATGCTTCTCATATTACTCAAATAGGTGGTAAACTCGTCCCATATGAGTGCAAATGGTAGGTCATCGGTGGCTTTGCTGATCCAATTGTTGACTTGTTGTTGTTGGGGTGGTTCGAAAGTAATAGTTTCTAATTTTCCATAGAGTGTGAAATCTCCAGAATTTCTTGAGCATGTATAATGGCACTTATAGTGATAAGAAATTTCAGTTGTCATTATTTTTTAGAATATGTTAGATTTAGTGTAACAAGGGTACGAAAGTACGTTATTGGGTCCACAATTCACTTCGAGTGTAGTAATTTGAGATGAATCGCAGTATAGGTTGGTAGTAGCTCCTTGTTCGCACGAAGCACAGCCTTCTAGTCTTAAGTCTACCGTCCCCCGGGAATAGGTCACCCCACTGAATAGGTCTCTTCCGGGAATAGGTCACCCTCAAAAATAGTTCACCTTACTGAATAGGTCACCTCAGTGTAATTTAAAAAAAAATTGTTAAACTTACTGTAAAAACCAAAGTTGGCTAAAATATCTAATTTTTATGTCGATTTTGACTAATTTAACCATGATATTTCAATATATGACAATGTTTTATAATTTTTTTAACTTTGCGAACTGTTACTGTACAGCGTGTTTCACAAAATTCCGTTGTCAGAAATAATTTATATCTTTGCAACTACGCATCTTTTATAGGGCCGAAATCGACCACTTAGTACCATACAGTACCAAAACATTATAAATTAGCGCCATTTTACGCGAGAAAAGGATCATATACCGGAAAAGGATCATTTACGCCCGCTTAACATTCGTTGTTGAAAAACAGTCGGAGAGTTCTAAAAAAAATTGTTTAACATGTCTAGTAGTACCCCGGCCCAGGTCGGCCCTACCATCGGGCCGGGCCGGCCTCGAGCTAAAATTGAAACGGGCCGGGCTTGAAAAAAAAGTCCGCACAAATGGTCAAGACGCGTAAGTCTTAACGCCAAAATTTTTACCATTAAAATTTTTAACTCACGTAATGGTTCAGTAAACGGAGCCGAGCAACTGCACCCGACGGAACTGGAGGCATGGACCTTTCAACCAGTGCCAACGCAGTTGAGGGCACTAACCTTTCAACTGCACCCGACGGAACTGGCGGAATGGACCTTTCAACCAGTGCCAACGCAGTCGAGGGTACCAACCTTTCAACTGCACCCGACGGAACTGGCGGCATGGACCTTTCAACCAGTGCCAACGCAGTCGAGGGTACCAACCTTTCAACTGCACCCGACGGAACTGGCGGCATGGACCTTTCAACCAGTGCCAACGCAGTTGAGTGCACCAACCTTTCAACTGTACCCGACGGAACTGGCGGCATGGACCTTTCAACCAGTGCCAACGCAGTTGAGGGCACTAACCTTTCAACTGCACCCGACGGAACTGGCGGAATGGACCTTTCAACCAGTGCCAACGCAGTCGAGGGTACCAACCTTTCAACTGCACCCGACGGAACTGGCGGCATGGACCTTTCAACCAGTGCCAACGCAGTTGAGTGCACCAACCTTTCAACTGTACCCGCCGGAACTGGCGGCATGGACCGTGCCCTTGTAGTTGGCGGCTTTTCTTCACGGCATTCCATTTTGAAAACGGTGTCTTCAAAATTCTTGAGTTCTGGATGGCTTAAACAAAATTTTAAATAGTTACAGTAAGATTGGGCGAATTTTTTTGGTATGCTTGTTATTGCGGACGGATTTTTAGCTCGGTCAAGTTTTAATATTTTTTCTTCGGAAAAACATCTCAACCCCGATCAAATTTAAAAAAAATGTTATATCGGCGAACCAACGGCGGAGAAAGTCGGCGGAGTTCATATCTCAGTCAAATTTTAAGAGAAAAAAATATTAAAGAATAATAGAGATATGGCTTCGCCGGCTTTCCCGCCGGTTTTTTCAAAAAAAATAATTTTTTATAAAAACATTACCAATTTGGACTTTTGGTACTATTTAGTACCAACGAATGTTAAAAATGTACCAATTTGACTCTTCAGTAGCATTATGTACCATACAACTAAATTAAGCAAAAAATAAAAAGGTAAAGGTTCAAAAACCTTATAGCCTTTGCGTAGTGTCGGCTTTTTTGGCTTGCAACTGTAGAAGCCCTCGCAGTATTTAGTAGTTCTTGGCTTCAGAATGTTTTCGAAAAAAGCGAAATGTCGATGCTACGTTTTTCTGAAATAGGTTCTAAACGCTAACAATACTTCAAAATGCTTTGCGTTAGAGATTTCAGCTTCATAAGGAAAGTTTGACATCAACTTGTTTCCTACTTCCGTAGCGACCTTATTCGGTAGAAACGAGAGTCCTAGTAGTCTGAAGAACCATTTTCGTACTTCTACGTCATAAAGTAGGGTTTCTTTGCACCTGACCTTCTGTTTGAAATTCAATAGCATATTCTTTGATTTGTGGAATTGGCAGTTCGATAGAGTCCACACAGGTAGCTCTTCTTCAAAGCGCTTGCAGATTTGAGGGTTGGGTTGAAAAAGCGTCTTTTTTACGGGCTACGACGTCGTGTGTGCCGGAATGGTTTTCTTTGACTTAAAGAAAGCGAATTTACGCATTTTATTAAAGACGGCAACATTTTGATTTATTTTCTTGGTGTTGTTTACGGCGTTTTTTTTATCCTGCGGTGTTGTCTCCAGCAGCAGAGCTACTTTACTTTTGTTGATGTAGTCACCATAACCCATAGGGGGTGTGATAGGGACGGTAGCCTTCTTTAAGTCCAAAGTTCTGAAAAATCGAGGAGCTGAAGCTGCCAGAGTACGTGTATGGCATAAGACATCATCATTATTTACGGAAAGTTTAACAGCTCTTCCCTCTATGCTGGAGTCAACAAGGCTGTAAAGTCCAAAGAAGGGTAGTGATCTTCATTGTACTCATACATTGACGGAGTGTTCATCATTTGCGGGAACGTGCCTTTACCCTCCACAGAACGCCCTAACGCCTTAAGCATGTTATCTAGCGGCATTTGTAGAAAATGGTAGATGACAATCATAGGAATTTGCTCAAAGCTTCCTCTTTGACTTCTACGTTAAGAGGCCTTACTGTGACGAGGTAGGACATTGTTACGCTGTCAGATGACGTGCTATCAACTGTAGCATCGCTAATTTCACCATCGTCTTCTATTTACGGTCTATTTTTTGTAAGGGTTTTGAGGTTGTCGTCACGCTCAAACTTGTCAGAAGAAACGTCATTACGAATATAACTTCTTCCCAATGGTCGAAATCGGTTTTGTACAGCCGGTATTGTATAGCCCTTACGGTATAAATAAACATTTCAGAAACTTTGTTAGTTCCTTTTTTAGACTTCATCGTCAAGTTTTTGCACTGATTTCTGAACACCTTCATCGTTGTCAGCATAAACTTTTTTACGTTTCGGAGTGTTGCCACCATCCCATTCAACAGTGGCTTCTCATCTGGTTGCTCTTGAACTGGTTCTATTTGCAGAATGTTACGTATATAGTCAAATGCGAATGGCCTGTTTCTCAAAGGACTACAATGGTGGCTTTCAGTATCGACATTGTTGGCTGCGGTTCGTCTCGGTTCTTAGCCAACTATGTCGGTCCGTAGATTATTATTCTGATAATGAATAATACGTCAGAAGGTAGTTGAATTATGTCTACATTGCGAAGTCGTACTACTGAACCGCTGTATATACTTTCCCAGCCTTTGAACAGTTCGAGCGTTGGAATATTTAGTTTAAACTATGTACGTATATTAATTAATGTAGACTTCTGTTTGGGAAAAGCCCATTCGATCTAGTATCTCCATTGTCCAAAAATACTACGTTAGTTGAATGATGCGCGAGGCATCATCGTCCTCTTCCTGACGGAAGGTTTCGGTAACCATCCGACGGCCAACCGCCATCACAGACATGGTCGTGACCAGGTCCGTCACCACGAACCGCCGTTCCAATGCCTCCACCGGTGTCTGGTCGTACGCCTTCAACTGGCCAAGGAAGCCGTTGGCTTGAGCACGAAAGGCCGTGTCATCTAAACGCAGAAACGAATTAAAGAACGAATGGGCTCGAACTCACCTTCTGGCAACCGGAAGATGGCATTTTGGTATGGAGTCTTTCGGAAGCGACCATTGCGATCACGTTTGGTCGCCGAGCGGCCAGTGGGGGAGCAACGCGGGTTGGCCGCATAGCTTTGCCGAGACTCCACCATCTCATCCACCGACAGTGTGCTAACGGCTCTCCGACCAGCTTTGTCGCAAATATTTTGCCGGCGAAGGCTCTCGGCTGCGGGCAACATGATGGAGAACTTCTGTAATGGAACAAGTCAGGGATTGCAACTTCAGCTCGACCTACTGATCAGATCGCGGGTCTCAGGACCAACAACCAACCGCACGAGCCCCTCTGAGTCCCAGACGGAATCTAGGGCCTTCTTCGAGTTCCAATTAACAAGACAAGTGGCCAGAACCGTTCCTGAGGGAGGATATGTCTTGGTCCTCACCAGGAGCGGGTCCACCGCACAGAAAAGTGCCGAGGGGGCTAGCCAACCACCGACCGGAGAAACGACCAAACCATGTGCTATCGAAGAATCAAGTTGATGGGCAAATTCGTGTACAGCCGCATTTATTAGGTTGTCCGGAAAGTTCTGCAATATTTGAGTAGGTAAACTTTGAAAAATCAGGAAAAATTTATTTCTTGACGGAAAGAAAAAATTCTTTTTTTGTTTGTTTGTTTGTTACCTAAATTATTCAAAAAGGTAAGTTACATAACTTAATTTCATTTTTTTGTATTGTTTTAGGTATTAGAAAAAAATGGAGAAATCTCGCCTGCGCGTGATTATATGGAATGAATTCAAACGCGGAAATACTGCGGCAGAAACCTTCAGAATCATAAACGAAAATGAGGGTAAGAATGTTGTGAGTTATTCTACGGTGACCAGATGGTTCGCAAAGTTTCGTGTGGACGATGAGAAGCTTGAAGACAAACCACGTGCAGGAAGACCCAGCAAACTTGACAAAGATGCCCTGAGGCGCAAGATTGAAGATGACCCACATATTACAATCCGGGAGTAAGAAGAGTTACTAAACTGTGGAAAAAGTACCATTGATGATCATTTGAAGGCAATGGGTATGGTCAAAAAGTTGGACAAATGGGTGCCTCACAATTTGACTGATCTGCAAAAAGCCAAGAGACGGTGTGCTTCCGAAAAGCTTCTGCAACGCTGCAAAAACGAAGAATTCTTGGATCGAATTGTAACTATTGAGGAGAAGTGGATCTCGTTTAACAATACTAGAAGATCTACAAGTTGGTGTAAGCGTGGAGAAGCTCCTAAGCCCGTTCCGAAGCCAGAATTGCACGAAAAGAAGCTTATGGTGACTGTCTGGTGGTGTAGCTCTGGAGTGATCCAGTACGATTTCATGAAACCTGGCCAAAGTATTACGGCCGACACCTACTGTGCCCAGATTGACAAACTGCGACACAATCTTCCAACAATGGTCAGAAGGAGGGGTCCGATCATTCTGCAGGATAACGCACGGCCCCATGCTGCAAAGAAGACCGTGGCAAAATTCAGGGAACTGGGATACGAAGTCTTGGAGCACTCTCCTTATTCTCCAGACTTGGCTCCAAGGACTTTCACCTTTTTAAACACTTGTCTTCATTTCTTAATGGAAGAATCTTCAAAACTCCGGACGATGCCAAGAATGCCTTCAAGAACTTCATCAACTCCAGAAACCCGGAATTCTACAATCGTGGAATAAAAAAGCTTGTAAATCGTTGGCAAGACTGTATTGATTCAGACGGTAATTACTTTGATTGATTGTAGTTGTTAATTATATTGTTATTATTGTTAGTTCAAAAGTGAATAAATATTGCAGAACTTTCCGGACAACCTAATAATATGACGGCTACTACGTAGTTTAATAGATATTCGCTATATTTGATGATTTGTTTGGCTTCTAACGAAGCCAAACAGTCGAAGTCAGAATAGTCTTTATCATTACCCGGCAGGACTTCCTTATAGATCTTCTGTCCAACTGTAAGCTTCCCCATTAATTCAAACAACCATTTTAGCTTTTCCTTTTTAATTTCTCAATCAATTTTATCAAAACTGCGATTGATACCCAAAAAATTAAAGTCTTCCATATCTGTTTCGTAGTTCTTAATATCTGCAATACATGGGAAATAAAAATGATAAGCGATTTTTGGACACTTGCGGATCTTTTAAAGGATTTTTTTTGCTTTTCACTTAATTTATTTGTAGTATGGTAATAAATAGTACTAAATTTTTAATTGGTACTGTTTTTATATTTTTGGTACTAAACGGTACTAAAAGCCCAAAGTGGTACTGTTATGTTAAAACCGTGTCAATTTAAACTTTAGTACCATACTACAACTAAATTAACTAAAAAATAAAAAAACTCTTTAAAAAATCCGCCAATATCCAAAATCCGTGTCTAAAAACCGCAGATCCACAAGTGTCCAAAAACCGCATATGTCCTAGCGCTCCAAAAAATATAACTTCTAACAATTTTATTAAAAACAACCGTCCCACTTTTTTAAATTTTAAATACTAACACTAACAGTGTAAGACATAACCGTTTTAATAATTAGTGTTTTAATATTTTAATATGCTAAAAAATTATTAAAAACAAACTATTAATATAAACTAAAACTATGTGCTTTTGCAGCCATGTAAACCTAAAAACATACTAAATAATTAAAGATTTTGGCTATTTTAAACGCGAAAAATGAATTGGAAAGAAGGCTTAGGCTTATATCTTATAAATACGCGTTCTTCAATCAAAGTAATATCAATAAAGGTAACTGAAATTGCCCCTCGACTTTAGGTCGAAACCTATATATTCTTGAAGCCCTGCACTGAGTATGGATATAAAAACCGTTTTTTCCTATGACTTTTAGTTTTCGAGAAAATCGACTTTAAAGTTTGCCCGGATCTTCAAAAGGAAAGCGCGCCCTCTATCGGAATAAAGCAAAGAAATCAAATCGTCAGGCCTTTTTTCGAGCACTTTCGTGTCCCACCTCCTCGCGTCCCCAGCAATTATAATAGCGCCATTTTTTACCTTTTATCTTTCTATTAGGTTGTCCCAAAAGGGCGACAAATTTTTAAACACGCAGATTTTTTAAAGGGTTTTTTTAGTTAATTTAGTTGTTGTATGGTACAAAATAGTACTAAAGTTTAAATTGGTACTTTTTTAATATTTTTTGGTGCTAAATAGTACTAAAGTTTAAATTGGTACTGTTTTTATATTTTTTGGTGCTAAATAGTACTAATGTTTCAATTGGTACTGTTTTTATATTTTTTGGTGCTAAATAGTACTAATGTTTCAATTGGTACTGTTTTTATATTTTTTGGTACTAAATGGTACTAAAAGCCCAAAATGGTACTGTTATGTTAAAACCGTGCCATTTTTAACTTTAGTATTATTTAGTACCATACTACAACTAAATTAACTAAAAAATAAAAAAAACTCTTTAAAAAATCCGCAAGTGTCTAAAAACCGCATTTGTCCTAGCGTCCTCAAAAGTAGTGGGCCACGTTTCATAAAATACTTTTGGGCAATCTAATAGTTGAAAAATATGAGACACTTTAAAATTTACTGTACATTTTACATTAAGCCTGAAACAATAATTTTAAAACTTTTTTAAATTTTGAAAGTTTTCAGTACATTTTACATTTTAGAATGTCATTGTAAGGAGATCTGAGAATTTGGAAGGTTCTAGAATTATTTTGTAAGGCTATTTGGCAATTTGGAAGGATGCAGGACACTTACAAAGTCTAAAACAATGATTTTGAAACTTTTTTTAAATTTTAAAAGTTTTTTAGCGGGTGCTTCTTGGAGGGTAGAAAAGTAAAATTATACGTCAGGGGATGGTTTTTGGAGGGTGGGGTACAATAATTTTAAATTAGGGGGTGTTTTTGGAGGATAGGAAAGTAAAATTATGGGTCAGGGGGTGGTTTTCGGTGGGTAAAGCACAATAATTTTTTGTTAGGGGATGCTTTTTGGGGGTAGAGCATAATAATTTTAAATTAGGGGGTGTTTTTTTGAACGATAGGGAAGTGAAATTATGGGTCAAGGGTAGTGTTTGAAGGGTAAGACACAATAATTTTTTGTTAGAGGGTGCTTTTTGGAGGGTAGGGAAGTAAAATTATGGGTCAGGAGGTGGTTTTTAAAAGGTTACTTTGGTAAAGTTGACTTTGGTTTATGTAATCGATTAAAAAGATTTTATGGTAATAATTATTCTAATATTCATTGATTGCATCGTATCATCATTCGTGTCATTCTAGGATGGATGACATGTTGCCCAAGAAGCATAAAGAACATTCCGTAGCCGTTTCCGTATTCTTTAGGGTTGTAGTCGCCGTTTAGTGAGGTTACTCCGCAGTTTTTCGTCCACCAGCCGCTAAATTTGAAATTTATATTGTTTTAGGTATGAATTGATAGAGAGGATCTTAATATAGTAACTAGGTATACAAGTCTGTAGGTTTTGTTTTTATGATAACTTCAAGATTTATTTCGGTAAATCCAGTCCCCTTGTAGACCGAAACCCTATTGAGTATAACACTAACAAGGAAAGTACCCAACCTGCCCCGCTCAGAATCAGCTCAAAATTTTTATATGATTTTTTTGTGCCACCAATAGTATTTATAAAAAATTTCAGCTCTCGCTTTGAGTTTTAAATTTGAATTATTTTGGTTTCCCGCCAATTTGCCAAATTTGTCATTGTGTTTCAAGCACGTTCTTCGACTTTCCAGACAAGATACGCTTACAACTTTAAAAATGTAGGTTTATTTAAAGGTATTGTACTAGTATATCAAAGAAAAATCCCTAAAAGTCAAAAAATGGCAAGTTATAAGCTTGAAGCACAATGCCAATTTGGCGGGACATTTAAAAAATCATTTTTTTTTATCTCGATTTTCTCAAAATAGACTGGAAAGCGCGATTTAGTACTTTGTTGAAAACCTTATATTTACGTAATCTTTCTATATAAAAGGTTTGAAGTCAATCGGAGCGGGACAGGTTGGGCACTTTCCTTGTTAGTCAAAAAGTTTGTGGAAGTTCTTCCATTGCTCGGCTTTTGAGTATTCTTTTTACTTTTAGACCTGTATGCTAAGAAAACAAAAGTAAAAGATAAAATGTGAGATTCCCTCACCCTAGTCGATACTTTCGAATGCATTTACTTTCAGGATCGTGAATCCTGTCTACAGTAGAGAATGGATTCATGTTAGCTGATGTAATGTCATACCAACCGGTTGAAGCATTGCCTTTCAAGTTCTTGTCATATTGAACGTGGATGGTGTATAGATTATCAGCGGGGTCTATCTGAAGTGTTATTTTAGTTTTGACGTTCTACCACATCAGCATAGTACGTTACAATCTACGGTATCAAATAGTCAACTAATCTAATATATAGCTCTCAAATTTTGATTGTAGACGCTTGAAGAATGTAAAATAAATAAAAAATGTCTTACTCTAAACAAGTAATCACTGACATAAAACTGGCCATCATCTTGACTCATAGGTGTTCGATCTCCGTATAATGTAACGCGTAGGCGACTCATATTACGACATTGGTTTGTCAGGTGGTATATGAGTTCGTTGCCGGCCCAGAACTCGGTATTCTGATAAAATTTTTGATAAATAATACTAAACTGATATGAGGAATTGACTTTTGTTATGACATTTGTATAGATATATGTAGTATGAATTCATATAACTAAAGGTAATAAAAAATCAAGCCAATATACTGAACGGTAAGAACTCATTACCTCTCCCAACTGCCCGAACCCTCGAGCATACTCGTCCCAACCAGCGTTCCAGAACGGTACTTGGCCGTTCATTCGTTGTTGAATTACTGTCCACCCTCCCCCGTCGTCCACATTGTTACAGTAAACTAAAACGGGTCGATAGTTCAACTGAATTTCGTAGATTCCACTTTCTTTGAAGCCATAATGGTGAATATCCTCGCAGTTCTTGGCGTTTATTAAGGCCTGAAAATGGTAAATCTTTAGTTTATTGTATTATATAACGTTATATGCTATTAATAATATTTTGAATAAAGTGACTAGTGTTAAGAACAGCAAAGTACTAAGTCGCGCTTTCCAGGAAATCACGAGAAAATCGAGATCAAAAAATTAAGTTTTGAATTTCCCGCCTAATTGGCATTGTGCTTTAAGCTTATAACTTTGCCATTTTTTTTACTTTTAGGAATTTTTCTTTGATATACTAGTAGAATAACTTTAAATAGACCTAAATTTTTAAATTTGTAAGCGGAGCTTCTCTGGAAAGTCAAAAAAAGTGCTTGAAACACAATCCTAAAATTTCCCAAATTGGCGGGAAACCAAAATAATTCAAATTTAAAACTCAAAAGCGGGGGTTAAAATTTTTTATGAGTACTACTGGTGGTACAAGTAATTCAAATAAAAATTTTGAGCTGATTCTGAGCGGGGCAGGTTGGGTACTTTTTTTTGTAAATGAAGGCCCAAAGGCCTAACATAGGTCTCGCAACGAAAGATTCTCTTAAAAACTTAAAATAATAACACTTACATTAACATATAAGACTGTTGCAAATAAAAACAAGATTTTGAAAGTTTGTGTGACTGAACCATTCACAGCCATACGCATATCAATATATATTGATAAAGGTTTTTGAATATTTATAGTTCAAGAAGTCCAGACACAAGATACAAGTTTCCAAAACTATCATAAAAGAATGTGTTTGCTCATAACAAAAAAAAGTTTCGCATTTTGTTGTCAAATCGGATTTGAGTAAAATAATGAGTAAAGAACAGTAGAAGCGAACGGGTAGAGCAGAAACGGAGCAAATAAACGTATGATTATATTATTTGTGATTCTAATATATTTTTTTCTATTCTTTGATTACAAAAGTCATATTTAGACCTAGAAAGGGGCTGGGTCTACTTTTTCAATCCCTGTCTTTTCAAATTAGCTTTGGTTTGGCATTTTATTTAAATTGTTTAAAACAGTAATTAATAAAATGTATGGCACTGCTTCAGTGCTCTAAAAAAAAGTAATTTACATTGTTATGCATATGACTGTAAAAATCTTGATAACTATTACAGTTTTAAAGATGAATTTGGCGGGGAAACGAAATTTAAAAAAATGCCCTGTTGAAATGATCTCCTCTGTTGTCAATCCTGACCCACGGGTCTTGGCTTGGACCGCGGCGCCATGATCCAAATGTGCCGGCTTAGTATCTTCCAAATTTGTTTTGGAAATAGCTCGGGGAGGGATGTTGACCCTAGTGTAGACATGGCAATCGGGCCGGGCCGCGGGCCCGCGTCGGCCCGTTTTTTGAATTTTTTTCCCGCGCTTTTTTTCTGCTTATCAAATCAGTCTGAAACTTTTTCTACCCCTAGATTTTATTGGGTGCTACTTCCTCCAAATGGTCTTAGAATTTTGATATCTCTTACAGTTTTTGAGATATCGACATGGGGGGAAAAATTCAAAAAACGGGCCGACGCGGGCCCGCGGCCCGGCCCGATTGCCATGTCTACCCTAGTGGAGTGCCCCTTTTCAAATCCAGCCTATACAGTAAACCCTAGGTAGATCTTAACATAAAATGAAGTAGTTGGCGGGCTTAGCTTTCTTAATCTTTTTTGACTGCGCCCGGTCTAATGGATTTTTGAATATTAAAAATTTTTATAACTTTTAATATTGTTATAGGTTTATTTTTATAATTTTGGCAATTTCTGAAGCTTTCGTTCAGGTCCGTCCTTTGGGTTTGCATGATCCAGCCCGCCTTTTCAAAGTTGTTTTGGTTTAGCCTAGTGGGCTCCCTTCAGGTCTAGTCACCCTAGAAAATAAAATTAAAAAAAAAACAAAAAAAGTTCATCTTGCTGAGTTTAGACATGAGAAACGGGGCGGGCCGGGCCTGAAAATTGGATCGAAATTTTGCTCAGGGCCGGCCCAGCGCGATGGCAGCCCGGCCCATTTCTCAGGTCTAGCTGACATGTGAGTTGCATTTCCAAAGTTTATTTTTAAAAAAAATTTAAAAAAAAATTAAATTAGGTTTTTTAAAATTAAATTTTAAATACTTTTTAAAATTTTCATCCTATCGAACCCAAAAGAAACTTTTCAGAATTATTCCAAAATTAGCATTATAATGCTTTACTGCCTCTTCTTATAATATGTTTATGCAAATTTGCGGTTTCGAAGAGCGGAAACTCGAAATGTAATAGAAGAGCTTGTTATAAGACTAATCAAATTTCGGCCCAACTTTTTCTTTAATTTTGTTTTGTCTTTTGCTTGTTGTTTTGGGCGGGGGTTTTTATGAAATTGGCGGCTAATTTTGGAGCTAGCTGAGGGCTTTTAATTGGCCAATGTTTGGACTATGAGTTTTTGTTTTGTGGTCATGCGGTTTATGTTAAACTTAAATACAGTGGAACTCCTATATAACGAATAGCTCGAGAAATTTAAAATTTGTTTGTTATATAGGAGTTTTTGGTATAGATGAGTTTATTATATAGGTTCCACTGTACTAGTTTTGAATATTACAGTACAAGTTTTATGAAGAATGGCTAGTGTTTCTTGTTTATTAACTTTGTTTTTAAAAAAGTTTGTTGTCGTTTATGTTTTTACGACATCTCGGCCCAATAAATGCGGCTTTTAATTAGTTTTGGTGGCCAGGTTAGATAATTTTTTTTGTGTACTTTCTTAAATTACAATCATAGTTACCAATTTTTACATGTTTAGCTTTGTTTTCACCTTTGCTCCGCTTTTTTTTAAATTTGGCTCCAGGTTCGTTGTCGGAGTCTTTGGCTTCGAGAGTGTTTAGTACTGAATTTCGATTTTTGTTTTGGCTCCAGCTCCAATTTTTTTGTAAATTTCGGGTTTGGAGCTCTTGAAAACACTGCTTATATTAATAATAATACGTACAAAAAAACTTTTATCAATATTAAAACGATTCAGGTGATGTGAAAGAGAAAAATTTCGTTATCCTCATCAGGGGCGTAACCTTAAATGTCTATATGAACATTATAATTGTAAATTAAAAAAGAGAGAATGGTATCTCAAAGAGATAGAGGCGCGAGATGGACAGGTGAGACAGATTTGGTATGGTCTGAAAGCCAGAAATAGGCTTACGGCCATAACTTTTTTAACCTAATGTTTTTTTTGAGAAATGAATTTTTTGTAAAAAAAGATCAAAATGAAGTTTGATTATGCACAAGCACTTCCTTTAGGTCCTACCACGACAACGAACAGTCTTTGGCATTCTGAATTAAGTACTTTCACCAACACAAAAATATTAAAACGTTCAATTAGTTGGACAGGCAAAACGTTCTGTAGTTGATCATCGTGAAAGTGAGAACGGTTGGGAAGGGCTTTAAACTCTAGATCAGGACCTACGTTCATATTGGTTTTATATTTAAATTATTGTTGATTGTTTGTTGAAGGTGAATTTTAACTTTTTATTGTGAGTCTGTTTCTGTAGACGTTGTCTTTAGGACAATATACTCATATATAACCGTAGTTTAAATAAGATACATTAGTTTTTGTATTTGTAAAAACCATTTTAAATTTTAAAATTGTTACCTAAATTTTTAAAATTTTTTGAAAAATGTGTAATTATTTACATAATATTTTAAAAATCTGAAAAAAAATTAAAACCAGTTGTCTGCAGATAGTTTTGTTAGCTGATTTATGCATTTACCCTTTGGCTAAACTTCCCCTCCCTCTTTTTAATGCATTAATTATGTGGCATTGCACCTTTGTCCGTTCCTTTTCTTATTAATACCAAATGCAACGAAACGAGCGGTTTTTCGAATTTGAATTTGGATAATTAGCTCATTTTGGTAATTGAAATGGAAGTTTTGATTTAGGTTGGTCATAATGTAGTTGGGTCGAATAAGACTACACATGAGAAACGGGCCGGCCTTGAGCAAAATTTAGATCGAGCCGGGCCTCAAATCAAAACCCGGGCTGGGCTTTTCCGAGACTTTCAGTCCCGGCTCGACGAAATTTTGCACAGGCCCGGCCCGTTCCCCATTTCTAATAGGGCTAGGAATGTACTGCACACTGCTCTAGGGATTAGCAGGGGTGGAGATTTGGAAACTAGACAGAGGGATGGGGGTTTTGTGGCTGGGTAATAGTCATATAGAAAAGTAAGGCCTGTCTTGGCTCCTTTACAGGTCTAGTGTAATATATTCTGTATTAAAAAGATTTTAAAAATTATTGCCTCTGAAAATTCAATTGTAATATATTTCTAAGGTATCAAAGTATATTGTTATTGACCTCAAAACTTTTACATACTTTTTAATCAGTCCATATGTTTAATTAAACTCTTATTACTTTACAATGTTGTTAGATATTTGAATTGGACTGTAATTTCTAATTAGAATGGCAGGTGGTTTTACGGAATTGTATTACTTTTTATTGCCATTTTATTATTTTCTCTGTTAAGGTTGATGTCTGGAGACAAGATGTTTATAATTTTTTATATTAAGGTAGGTCAATGTAAGTTATGGTGCGTGTTTCTGATAACAGGATTTACAGGGTTAAGTCTACGACTAGGCCGAGTGATAGGGCTCTGGGCTAGGAGCTCTGGGCTAGGGCTCTGAAAATCTGCTGTTTTAAAAGTGCACATTGTAAAGTAAAGTAAATGTTTTTTGAATATTTATGTAGCACGTTTAAATGAAGTGCTTTTGCGTGTTTTAAAAGTTTTTTTGCGACAAAATTTGATTTAATCCAAAGCCAAAAAATATTGAAGAAATGGCTTTTCTCGTACGGATTTGCCTTCAGGGAAAGTTTTTGGTTTGCAGGAGAATAATTTAAATACGTTTTGCAAAAAAAATTGGAATTTTCATGGGTTTTCGGGTATGGAACTCTCCTAGTTATGCCCTAGCCCAAAGCTATAGTCTTAGCCCTACCCTCAGCCCTATCCCTAGCTGTAGTTCTAGGTCTAAATCTAGCCCAGAGCCCTAGTCTAGAGTCCTTGCCCAGAGCTTTAGCCCTAGCCCAGAGCCCTAGCCCAGAGCCCTAACCCAGAGCCCTAGCCTGTCCCCAGCCCTAGTTATGGCACTAGCTTTAGCCCTATCAGTGTAATATCTACTCTATGCTTCAATTTTAAGTACAAAAAGCCAATTATAATCTTAATAAAGAGTAATTACACTCATGCGGTTCCAATCTAAACAATACCTAAAGGTTACGTCGGAAAGTAATTATACTTACGGAAGGCGATTTTTTGGATTTTCAAATTTAAAAGTCTTCAAAAATAAATTTAATCCGCTTTCTGAAGTCGGAAGAAAGTTCTTTGCCATTTTATGTCTTGTAAAGAAAGTTATTGCCGTTTTATGCTTTGTAAAGAAAGTTCTTGCTATTTTATTATTTGTAAAGAAAGTTATTGCCGTTTTATGCTTTGTAAAGAAAGTTCTTGCTATTTTATTATTTGTAAAGAAAGTTCTTGCTATTTTCGTTTGTAAAGAAAGTTCTTGCTATTTTCGTTTGTAAAGAAAGTTCTTGCAATTTTTTGGTTTGTAAAGAAAGTTTTTGCCATCTTATGTCTTGTAAAGAAAGTTATTGCCATTTTATGTCTTGTAAAGAAAATTATTGCCGTTTTATGCTTTGTAAAGAAAGTTGTTGCTATTTTCGTTTGTAAA